GAGAGAGAGAGAGAGAGAGAGAGAGAGAGAGAGAGAGAGAGAGAGAGAGAGAGAGAGAGAGAGAGAGAGAGAGAGTTTTCCATCGATAGGATGAGCAACGCACAGGCCAGCAGGTAAGTCTCCAACTCCGCGGCTGCTTTCATCAATTGGATGAGCAACGCCCATGGCCGCCTCCATGGGGGATTCGTAGCCTACCTTCACTTGCAAGAAGGCAACCTCTTATAAGAGGAAAAATATATAAAAGAAGGACAAAGAAAAAACAGTGTTCTTGTTTTTTTTTTCCCCGTTAAACACATCCAAGTGTTCATGCACTGCCCAGGGGACTACCTGGCCAGTACATGATGGACCTAAGGAGAGACTCGTCTATGCATGGGGAGCAACATGTGCTGGGAATTGGGCTCAGTGTTTCAAAATAGGATTTAATTTTGCACAATGCATATGGGAATAACACCGCAACATTTTTTTTTTTGTATTTTGTTTTATTTCTTCTAAGAGAAGACAATTCTCTAGTCTATTCATGGGGAGCAGCACGTTCTGGAAACCAGGCCCAACGTCCCAGTTGAGAACATATTGAGAAAATATGCAGAACAATTTGACATACCGGGGCCATTACCCGGCTTCGGTTAGGACTGGTTGTCATGCTCATGAAATAGACGAAAATCAGAAGAGCTATGAGAACAACCCTGAAGCTTTAATCCATAGGAGCTTTGAGACCACAAACAACCTACATCGGTGCCTTTTAGCAGCCCAACCTTAAACCTACCTCAACCCCTATATCCTGATACCCAATCTCTACCAGGTCTCACACCTCCAAGTTCCCCAACTGCTAGGTTACAGAGTGGCACAACCCACCCCAGAACAATCCCCCACCTGCTAGGCTATAAGACGAGGCGACCCGCCCTGGCTCCGGCTAGTGTCGACTGAGTATCAGCTCACCAATGAACGCTTGAGTGCCTTCCACCCTCGACAACTCCCCAGATCTCTCTATCGTGTCTTGTGCCCCCGTTGTAGGGCCCCAACCTGTTATACTTTTGAACGTGGGTCGACCCATCAGCGTGTCCCAGTTGGCTCAGCTTTGCTCACGCACTTGCCGAGTGCGCGGAGCGTTCGTTACAGGGACACCCCCACCTAGTGCTTTGAGATGGATACGGGTGGGCCCACTAGCGAGAGAGCTTTGAAATTGGGGATGGATCTCAACCTTCTTGCTACGTAGATAGTCTCGCTGATCCTAGGTTCATTCTTGATGCTTTCTTGTGTTTGAAGGCAATTGCTC